AAAGAAAGAAAGAAAGAGCAAGAGGTAAGAAGAAGGAAGGAAGGTAGGTAGGTAACTGTGCTGGCCAGGTAAAGTACAATAAGATCCCAAATCCACAAGACAGGGATCCCTTTATGGGCCCCATAAAGACCAAATTGCTCTTTCATTGGGGCTAGGGCGCGTGTTAGAGTCCACACTACAGTTAGCACCGGGATATCGATCTTATCCTTGTTTAGGAGCGCAGTTCGGAGCCCCGAAACCTATAGTCCTCCGTACTCCGAAAGAACACCCCAAAACCCCCAAATCAGGGATCCCTTTCTTGGGGCAAGCAAAATGCCCACTCGGTCTTCAGCCTTCCCCTGAGGCCGAGAGAGTGTGAGCTTGGAGCCTTTTCGTTGGCCCAGGAAAGGGACCCCTGTTTTTGTGGATTTGGGATGTTATTGTACTTTTTTCTTTAAAAAACCAAAAGTAGCCATTTGGGATCGATCTCTTTGCTTTCCCAAAGCTTTGCTTTGCTTTGCTTTGCGACGAGGCGGATCTTCCCCAGTGCCTCTCCACTACAAAGCCCATCGGGCTGCCAGGGTAGGACTCCTGAGTATAGGTTTTAGAGTGCAGACTTGGGCTCCTGAACAGGGATGAAATCGGTACCCTGGTGGCTGCTATAGTGAGGACCCTAACACGCGCCCTGAGATGGTTTTTTCTGCCTGAGGCTGCATCCGCACTGCAGAAATCGTCCAGTTCCATACCGCTTTAACTGCCATGGCTCCATGCTATGGGATTTTGAGAATGGTAGTTTGTTGGGGCAGGCCCAACAAAGCGGTATCGAACCGGACGATTTCTGGAGTGCGGATCACCTTTCCGTCTCAATTTCCCAAGCAGAATATTATTCTTTTTCAACTTACTATCAAAACATCCCATCTTACCAAAAAAATTCACTCGTAACCCATTAGCCTGTGCCTCTTTTATTGGCATTTAGAGAGGAAAAAAATAATTTTTCTGGTTCTGGTGTGTCACAGCTCTTCCCCTTAGAGCCAACGATAGCGGGCAGTGATTCCCAAAGGCTGGTCCTCCAGATGTTTTGGACTTCAGCTCCCATCATTCCTGACGGTTGACCAAAGTGGCTGTGATATCTGGGAGCTGAAGTCCCAAACACCTGGAGGACCAAGGTTTGGGAAACACTGGTCCAAACCGCACTGCAGAAATCATCCCTTGTGAGAGACCGCTTTCACTGCCCCGGCTCAGAGCTAGGGAATCCTGGGAATTGTAGCTTATTGTGGCATTTAGTCTCTCTGACTAA